ATGAAACAAAGGGCACGGTCAAATCACGATAAGGTTTTTAACATATTTTGACAGGAAATTCTTCAACATGTAGCTCTAAAGATTCATTGTTATTTCCATTTGCATACATTTATTTGATAATATTTTCTAATTGCATCATGGTAGTTTTTAAGTTACGTCACATCAAGCTGAAAATTCCAGGGAATATTTTAGATGTCTGCAGCAAGAGTTCTATTGGCTTGGGGAAAGCAGAACAGTGAAGGAGGAAATGGGAGATGCATGGAACTTTTGCTGTCTTTTTAGCTCAAATACAGCTTCAAGCCCTTCTAGCATCAACTTCAAAAAACAGTTGATGACTAGTGAAGGCACTCCAAAACCTAGAGATACAAAAGCAGGAGCTTAGATGATATTTAGGAGAAAACAAGATAAACAATGGGTGCTACAAACACATGATTATCATGTTCTATCATTACCGCCTTCTTCTGCACCTAAGGTAGTTGCTTTACTCTGAACCACAATTTATTGCTATGGATTGAGAGAGAATGTATTATAGAAGGGCACAAAGACATTTGAATACCCCAACAGAGGAAGAATACATTTCATATCCCATAAAACCAATCCCTTCTACTTAGGAAAAACAACTTGTTTATATAAGACAACATAGACCCCATTTACTTAAGTCTTCTTGCTATATTGAAGACCTACTCTCTATCTATATTAAAGCATGGCAGCCCACAGTAATACTAGAATTTTGTACACATTATTGTTACATCTATAAATAGTTTAGCTATATTTAGAAAATAGAAAGCAAATTCTTGCCTCACCTGATTTTAATTTTTTGGATGCTAAGTCATCTGCTGGCAACTGACATTTTCTTCTGCGAGAAGTGGAAGTTGCCTGTTGTACAGGGTTAACCTCTTTTCCAGACCGATTTTTTTTTTCAGACCCAGTGGATGTCAAACACACATTTTGAGTTTCCAAAGTGTTACCATTTTCTGGCAAGTCGCCGTTTTTACGAATAGAAGTAGCTGCCTCTGATGTGAATTCTACCTTTTTCCTTTTATTCCTCAATTGCCTTGTTTTTTCCTGGGATGAATTATTTTCTAGGGACACACCTTCACCTTCTTTAAGAATCCTCTTTTGACCTCTATCTTTGGGCAAGCCATGTTTTTCCCTGAGAAAAGTAGAACTAGTCTCTTCAGATTTGGAAGAAATTGTTTTCTTTCTGCCCACTCTTGATGAATTTTCTTTTGCAGATGGAGCTGCTTCCAAAAGTATACTCAGTTGTTCTTCAGGAGTTTCATTCTTACCATCTTCTGGCAAACCTCGAAGTGAGGTGGAACTAGCAGCCAGTGAAGTGATTTTTTGCCTTGAGTTCCCTTTTGAAAGATCCGTTTTTTCTTGGGAAGTAGAATTTTCCAAAATCAGCTTTTTTGCTTCCCCATAATTATTCTTTCTACCACTTTCTCTTGATAAGACCTGTTTTCCCTGAATAGAAGTAGAACTTGTGGCTTCTAACAAGAGGGCAATTTCTTTCCTTCTGCCTTTTCTCAGTTGATTTTCTTTTACAGATGAATCAAAAGTTTCTAATGGAACATTTTGATCTTCTTTAGGAGCTTCTTCTCTACCATTATCTGCTGGCAAACCTCGTTTTCCTCTCAGAGAAATGTAATTAGTTGTGTGTGATACCAGAGCAGTTTCTTTCCTTCTGCCCCTTCCTAATGGCTTCTCTTTTGCACAGGACTCTGCTTCCAAAGGCATATTTTGTTCTTCATTAGTACTCTCCTCTTTATCATCAGTTTCTGACAAGCCACATTTTCTCTGGAGAGAAGATGAACTTTTTGCCTCTGCTGCTAGATCAATCTTTTTCCTTCTGTCCCTTGCCGAGACAGTTGCTTTTGCCTGCAAAGTTTTATTTCCCAAAGCTGGATTTTGATCTTCTCTCTCAGTCATCTTTTTATCATCACCTTCTAGCAACCCACATCTTTTTCTGATAGAAAGAGATCTAGATGTTTGTGATGCTGCAGCAACCTCTCGTCTTTTCCCTCGTCTCAGTGGATTGTCTTCTGTTGAAGAGGGAGTAGCTTCCACAGCTGAAACTTGCTCCTTTACAAAAGCCTCATCTTTACTATGATCTGCAATTAATATTTGTTTTTCCATAAAGGTAGAACAAGCTATTTGTGGCATGGAATCAACTTGCTTTCTTCTGCTCCTCCTTACTTGTGAAGAAGGATTTTCTGAAGTCTCATGTTGACCACCTTTGTAAGTCATTCCTTTGTCATCCTCAGGTAAACTCCTTTCTCCTCCAACCGCTTTGGAACTGGCTTCAAGTTCAAAATTAACTTTTCTACCTCTACCTCTTCTACATGCAGTTCCGTTGTTTCGTGCTTGACTCTCTCGCAGGATTTCAGTTTGCTTTGGTTTAAGTGTTCCCTGTTCATTTCTTGTCCGCTTTTGACGGCTATGAGCAAGACTGCCACTGTTTGCAGCAGGTATTGATGTGCCAGGTGGGTTGTTCTGGTCCTTCGTGACTTGGCATGTATTCTTGACACAAACACAGCTCAAAGAATCTTTGAGAGAAGATTTGTCTATTCCTGTTTCTGACTTAAACTTGGGAGTAGTTAGTTCTAGGTTGTTTATATCTTCGGCAAACTCATCAGTCTTTTTCTCCAGAGAATCATTTTTGCCTCTCCTGTTTCTAGTTCTGTTTGTTTCTTGTACTGCACTTCTGTTTGCTTCCAAGTTCAGAGCAGTAACCAGCATTTTGTTTGTCTCTCCAGAAGGTGACTCTGCCTTTAATCTTTGAGATGTCTCTGTTGCATTTTCCTGAGCATTTTCTGTTTCATCTCCCTGAGATACTTTAATCTCATTTTTGATGTGTGATTGTGTTTCAGTATCAGTTTCAGCTGAAGTTTCCTCGGTTTTCTGAATGTTTTGTATATTTTCAAGTGCCATCCCACAAATGTCTGCTTTTACTTCAGTAAAGTGTTTTCTAGCACTTCTTAAAGACTTAACACTTTTCTCTGTTATCTTTATTTCAAGTTTAGTTTCTTTTTCAGATTCTTCTGCTGTGGCAGTCTCAGTATCTTTGTCAAAAGCCCCTTCATTTCTTTGTATCATCTTTGCTGATGGGTCTTTGCGAAGCTTCCTTGTTGTCCCATGAAGGTCCTCTGAAGAAGTTTGTTTAACTTGGTCATTTCTAGCTCTTCTTCCTCTTTTAGGTGGAATCAGTGGTTCTGTGTTTTCTACTTTTTTTACTCCTCTAGACCTCTTCCCAGGTGACAGAAGCATTTCTTCACTGTCTTCTACACCACCTTCATTAGATTTGTTTTCAGGTTTTTTTAAACCTGTTTCCATTTGACAATTTTCATTTTGAATGCTACTAGATACATTTACTCTCTTTATGGTTGGATCATCTTCAGTTTCTAATATGTCATTGATGCCATACTCCTGCAAAGTCTGTTTCATATTTGCAAGTTCTTTTCGTAGCACTGAAGAATCTTTGCCACAAGACTCAAGATTCTCACTTGGATGTTTTAACTCCTTTGGTTCTTTCCTTTTACCTCTTCCTGGTCTTTGAGTAGCTCCATGTGGCTCCACAGATGAAACAGTTTCAACTTTTTCCTGATCAGGGTGCTTTGAAACAATTTCTTCTTGTATGCAACGGTTTATTTTCCTTCCTCTTCCTTCATTTTTAGCTACCGAAGTTGAAGTACTGATCTCTCCCATCTCTTCTTGGGTGCTCTTTTTTTCCAGACCTTGCAATTCTTTTAAAGTTAAATCCTTTTCATGATGCTTTGCTGAAGCAGGATGTACTGTCTTCCGTGATCTACCCCTTGTTGGTCTGTGGGTAGACTGGTCTTCACCAGTTGATTCCTTCTGTTGAAAATCTTCACCTTGTGAAATATTTCCTTTGTCTTCTAAAACAGGGTTTTTTTGCCCCCCATTCAAAGTTTTTACATAGAAAAGAACACAAACAAAAGTTATACATTACTATGCCTGATCAAAGTATCTGTGAGTTTTGATTTTCCTAACAGAGTCATCTTGCTCAAACAAATCACACTTAATATTCTTAATTTATGAATAAATAAATAAATAATGATTTTAACCAACTCCTAGATTAAAGGCCAGGCTTCTGACCAAAGATGTTTGGTTTATTTGGTAGGTAGCATTCATAGGTTTAAGTTATGTTCTTGAAAGTCTTTGCAAAGAAAGATAAATTTTAAGTGGAGACCTTAACATCAGGTTTTATACACTGGTATGTTTGGAGATGCCAACATCACCACACCAACAAACTACTACACTGTTACTTCTACACCAATAGAATTCTAGCACCTGGTGTTCATCAGGGGTGATTGCATAAATTCCATGAGCTATGCATGCTTCGCACTGCGTATTTTTGAATTTTTAAAGCATATGTTAAAACTTCATAATAACATATATTACCTTGTATATTAATTATTCCTCTAGTTAAGGCAAAAGTATTTGTACTTACCATATATATGACTGGAATTAATACAAGGAGATGCAGTATGTTCTTGCTTAGAATCCATTACATTTACTGATCTGACCTGAGGGAATAAACAGTAATCAATAAATGCATGTCTGACAAGACAAGAAATAATGGAGCCAACCAATACAAAACTAATGTACAGTAACAGTTGAAAAAAGTCTTGTCAAATACTTTTCTCTAAAAATGAAATCAACTTAGTTTTGTAATTGCATCCATGTATTTGATATTACCACACAAATATATCAAACTTAATACTTGCCATCCAAGCTAACGTAGCAGTTTTTAAAGTGAAAGATAACACTGCATAGAGTTAAAAAAAGTATTAATTAAATGGGCTGAAAAGTGTCTAAATGAGTGCTCAAGAGGAATTTGGGGTGTTGAAGCCGAATCTTTTGAGTATTTTGTAGTGTTTTATTGTAGTTCTACACTGATAAGCACTAAGCCCAGTGATACTCAACATTTTACTTATGGATCTAGGAATTAACATAAAAATCAATACTAATAAAATTCACGAATGACAAGAGTGATGAAGCTGTGAATTATAAGGTCAGAATGGTAACCCAAAGCAACCTCACTCAGTAACTACTTCAGGGTTTTTCAAAGGAAAAAAAAAAGTGCTCAGATTCAAATTTGTAATAAGCTATGCCTTCTAGCAGTGGGGCATTCACCTGGACAAAGCTACCAAGGAAAAAAGATTGCCATCTTTACACTTTTCAAATCAACGTGAGGTGCTTTTCTAGAAGATATCTCTTCCTCCAGAGGTTACAGGCATGACATGTTTGAAGTGCTGTAACATACAAGACGTCATACTAGGAGGTCTAAGCATTCATTTCAACCACAGGCTTCAAAGTCTACATACATTCTTCCAAAAGCTAAAGAAAGTATTTTACCTTAATTTCCTCTGGTATATCAAACATTTCTGTAACTCCAACATAGTCCACTTCAAAAGCAGAACATTTCTGCCTGGGTTCTGCCATAAGCCTTTGCAGACCCACAAAATCATCAACTGGTTGATACTTCTCTCTCGGAGTCTTCACGAGTCTACTAATACCAAACATATCTTCTATGGGTTCAACTTTTTCCTTTGGTGTCTTGAAAATACGGCTGACCCCAATCATGTCTTCTACTGGTTGGTATTTCAGCTTTGGAGTTTTCTCGATTAAAGTAATACCTGCCACATCTTTTACTGCTTCCCTTTTTTGCACTGGAGTCTTCAGCAATCTTTTAAAGGCAATTTCATCTGTAATAGGTTCCAACTCCTGCTGCGGGGTCCTCAAGAGCTGCTTGATGCCTGACAAGACCTCGACTGGTTCTGGCTTCTGCTGCGGAGTCCTCAAAAGCTGCTTGATGCCTGATAGGACCTCGACTGGCTCTGGCTTCCGCTGTGGGGTTCTCATGAGCCGCTTGATGCCTGATAGGATCTCAGCTGGCTCTGGCTTCCGCTGTGGAGTTCTCATGAGCCGCTTGATGCCTGATAGGACCTCGACTGGCTCTGGCTTCCGCTGTGGGGTTCTCATGAGCCGCTTGATGCCTGATAGGACCTCGACTGGCTCCGACTTTTCCTCTGGTGTGCTCAGGAGCTGCTTGATGCCTGACAAGGCCTCTGCAGGCTCCGGCTTCTGCTTTGGGGTCTTCATGAGCTGCTTGATGCCCGACAAAGCCTCTACAGGCTCCGAGTTTTGCTTCGGGGTCTTCATGAGCTGCTTGATGCCTGACAAGGCCTCTACCGGTTCTGACCTTTGCTCTGGGGTCCTTAAAAGCTGCTTGATGCCTGACATGACCTCAACAGGCTCCAACTTCTGCTTTGGAGTCCTCCTTTTACTTCCTGATTTCACCCGAGATGCTTGTTTTTCTGGAATTATTGACAAACCATCCACACTAATATTTTCTTCCAGCGTAGCTTTTCTTTTTTCAGGAGTTTTTGGGGATATTGCATCAAACATAGACTTTAGAGACTCCTTCTCTCTCAGAAAGTGACAAATTCCCGGACTATCTTGTTTCTGTTCTGAAGCATCTGAACTATTTAACGGTGACACCATCATCTCTCCTGAAATAAGGAGTAGATCTATGTAATTTGGAAAAAGAATTAAGCAGAAAGTCCAAGCATCCTAATTGCTGTATAACTAAGTAAAATGGATTCAAACAGCTGGAGCCTTCTACAAACCAAAATCCAAAAATGTGCATCAACAACTGATTTGGTAATTAGCTTCTACAAGGCACAGCATACATTTAAAAAACTGACTATTAAAAAAAATTGATTTTTTTCCTTATTTAATCTGATATAAAAATTAATGTTTTCTGTTTTCCCTAAAATTTCTAGTGGTGTAAGTTTTTTATTGCAAATACCAGACATAAGCGAGAAATTTTCACATTAAAGAACATACATTTGACCTTTCCGACACCAAGGAAGAAAAAAATGACAAGATATTTTTATAAAATTTATATCATGGAATCATAGAATATCTCAAGTTGGAAGGGACCCATAAGGATCATCAAGTCCAACACCCTGCTCCTTGCAGGACTACCTAAAACTAAACCATATGACTAAGAGCGTCATCCAGACGCTCCTTGAACTCTGACAGGCTTGGTGCCTCAACCACTTCCCTGGGGATCCTGTTCCAGGGACCAACCACCCTCTCAATGAAGAACCTTTTCCTAATGTCCAGTCTGAACTTCCCCTGACGTAGCTTCATTGCATTTCCTCGTGTCCTATCGCTGGTCACCAGAGAGAGGCGATCAGCACCACCCCCTCTGCTGTCCCCGCCTCAGCCTTCTCTTCTCCAAGCTGAACAAACCAAGTGACCTCAGCCTCTCCTCATAAGTCTTGCCCTTGAGCCCTTTCACCATCTTGGTAGCCCTTCTCTGGACACATGCTAATGGTTTGATGTCCTTCTTACATTGAGGCACCCAAAACCACACACAGTACTCGAGGTGGGGTCACACCAGTGCAGTGCAGAGTGGGACAATCACCTCCCTCGATCAGCTAGCAATACTGTGCTTGTTGTACCCCAGGACATGTTGGCCCTTTTGGCTGCCAGGGCACACTGTTGCCTCACATTCAATTTGCCATCAACCCAAACCCCCAGATCTCTTTCCACGGGGCTGCTCTCCAGCCTCTCGTCCCCCAATTTGTACATATAATCAGGATTACCCTGTCCCAGGTGGAGAATCCAGCACTTGCTCTATTTAAATTTCATATGTTTGGTGGTTGCCCAGCTCTCTCTTCTATCCAGATCTCTCTGTAAAGCCTCTCTACCCTCAAGGGAGTCCACAGCTCCTCCTAGTTTAGTATCATCAGCAAACTTACTTAATGTACAATTCCTGCATCCAGATCATTTATAAAAACATTAAAGAGCACTAGCCCTAAAATTGAGTCCCCGTGGACACCACTGGTGACTGGCCACCAGCCTGGTGTAACCCCATTTACTATAACTCTTTGAGCCCGACCCACCAGCCAATTGCTCACCGAATGTATTATGGACTTGTCCAGCTGTGTGCTGAACATTTTATCCAGAAGGATACTGTGAGAGACAATATCAAAAGCTTTGCTAGAATCCAAAACCACCACATCTGCTGGCTTCTCTTAGTCAACTAGTTGGGTGACCTTGTCATAAAAGGAAATGAAGTTGGTTAAGCAGGACTTTCCCCTCATGAACCATGCTGGCTATGACCAATGACTGCATTCTCTCTCAAGTGTTTTTCAATAATTCCCAGAATAACCTTCTCCATAATTTTACCAGGCACTGAAGTGTAACACAGGCCTGTAATTACCAGGGTCTTCTTTCTTACCCATCTTGAAAATTGGGATGACATTTGCCAGCTTCCAGTTGACTGCGACCTCTCCAGACTCCCAAGACCATTGAAAAATAACGGAGAGAGGTCCCGCAACAACATCAGCCAGCTACTCAGTTTGTTATGTGGCTTGTACCACAAGTGTCCTGTGGAAAGACACTTTTCACAAAAGTGGTCACCGCAGAGTGTCCTGGTTTCAGCTGGGATAGGGTTAAAATTTCTTGCTAGTGCTGTGTTTTGGATTTAGGATGAGGAGAATGTTGATAACACACTGATGTTTTCAGTTGTTGCTAAGTGCCCTCCTAGTCCAAGGACAGCTCCCATGCCTACTGACTGAGCTAGGTACACAAGATGGGAGGGAACATAATCAGGACAGCCAGCTCAGCTGGCTAATGGGGTATTCCATACCATGTGACGTCATGCTCAGTATATGAATGGGAGGCGTGATCCAGGAAGTACCGATCGCTACCTGGTTATCGGTCAGCGCGGGTGGTGAGCAATTGCATTGTGCATCACTTATTTTGTATATTTTATCATTATCATTATTATTCTCCCTTTTCTGTTTTATTAAACTGTCTTTATCTCAACTCACGAGTTTTTCTCACTCTTACCCTTCCGATTCTCTCCCTGCCCCACTGTGGGGGGGAGTGAGTGAGCTGCTGCGTGGTATTTGGCTGCCTGCCAGGTTAAACCACCACACAGAGGCAATGACTTTTGGAGTTCTTGGATTCTTTTGCATCCTGCTCATTATGCATAGCAGAAAAGGATAATCAAGAGGAAAGCTTGGGAAAAAAAAGTGAAGTGAATTTCTCTGGCTGCTTAGTGCCAACTATTTATTTTCCTTCACTATTTCCTAGCACAGTAAGCACAAGCATTAGAACAAGTGTAACCATGCTGTTGCTCAATAGAAACAGCCATCATTCCTCCCTCTAGTAAAAAAGAATTGAAGCAAAGGAGAGGTTATGGAAAAAAAGTCTGGTCATAACAACTCACAGAACAATTTAGAGGAAGTTGTATTTTCTTCCTGAAACGCAATTTAGAACAAATTTATAATGCCTGAAACGCTATTTCCAGAATAATATACTCAAAACCAGGCCTTGAATATTGAAAAGATAGCCTCGCTTTGGTCCCTGGAAAAACAGTGGAGCAGGTCCTCTGAAACACGTTTCTGGGCACAGGAAGAACAGGGTGATTGGGAACAGTCAGCATCAATTTATCTGAGGAAAATCGTACCTGACCAATCCAATTACCTTCTACGATAAAAAGAACAGATTTGTGAATGAAAAGAGAGCAGTGGCTATTATTTAATGCAACTTTAACAAGGTTTTTAACACTGTCTCCCACAATATTTTGGTATCCAAACAAGAACATCACATGCTAGATGAATGAGCAACTGGTTGAATAAAGAACCGGTTGGATGACCAGGCTCAGAGAATTGCAGTTAATGAGTCTCTACCTGTAGGCCAGTAACAAGGCTACTGCAGGCTGGAGGAACAGGATAATTCTAGGAGTCCCTTACCCTTAACTACAAGTAAAATCTCAATCTTATCTGTTCATTTTAAAAGCATAAGCCTCATCTCCAAACTAGAAATAAAGTACACATGTCTACTGGCGTCACTTTTCAATCAACGCTTATAGGATCTAGCAATAACTTGCCTTTGTAGTTCCTATCCTGTCAAGTCCTAATCATAAGATGTTCCGAGTCCTTCCAAATTCCTGGTCCAGCAGGATTAAGAAATAAACTATTTTTTTCCATCCATATTCCCTAAATCATGAAACTAAAGGATTCCTGACATACAAAAGGATCGATGTGTATAGCATCTAAGATTAAGGGCTTGCTCATCGTTTTAAGGAAAGCACTAAATAACAGGATAAATTACAGCTGATAACAGACATCTTCAAGCAGATGAAGATCACTCTACTAGTTCTTTGAAAAGAAGACACTTTTTACTGGTCTCCCTTCTGAAGTTATAACAAGGTTTATTATACCTAAGCCTATCTTCCACAATATCTGAAATAAACCAAAATACATTTCAACTATTATTAATTTTAAATATTGGAGGATTTATTCTTGATTTTTCTTGGTGTTTCAGTAGATGCTCAGTTTTGCTAAATTCTCAAGAAAACGGAATTTTAATTTCAAGAATTCTGAGTTATACAGGGACACAACGACTGGTATGCAAGGTTATTAGCAAAAGATGCACAACAAAGTACCATCTTAATACAAATCTTTCTAACCTGACACCTTTAAAAAAAGTTCTAAACAGACTTTTTCTGCAAGATTACACAGTAACCTCTCCCTACCATGAAACTTTGTCACTGGATTTAGATGTATCCAGAGACAACTGATTAAGGAAGTGCCATGCTTCAGCACAAGATTTTCCTGAAACAATACTTTTGAAGTTTCATACCAAATAGAACGAGTAAGAAAATAACACCTACTCAAAAATTAACTAGAACTACAAAAATGTCTTCTAATACATGATAAAAATCAATGGTTCCTTTTATGGATTGCCAGATGCTTCATCTCAATGCATCAAGTCTGCCTATGCAGAGACTACTCACTGTCTCAAGTAGCAGACATGCCACTACCACTAAGTATACCTAAACATTTCCTTTCTTTTCAAGTAACAAACATACCAGATTCTTCAGGAGTGTGCAACTCAGAAATTTCCACTGCAGTACACGTTGGTGTAAAATCAGTCTTCTGAACAGTGGCCAAAGGTAATGTTTTTCCACTCTTATTTTCTGGAGTTTGAAACATTTCAGTCATTCCTATAAATAACATTCAGAGAAGTGAGCGTATGCTTTGACAAAAGAACTACACTGTTGGCAGAGTGAGCAATAGACTTTAAAAACTTACCTGTGAAGCTTTCGTCCATGTTCATGTTTAGCTTCAAGATAGGATTTTTTACCACTTTAGGGACCTGTCCAGCCGTTCTGACTGTGGTGGAATAAGCTCTACCCACAACTATTGTAGCAGGTGACTCTGCATGACCTGTACTAAAATGACCTTTTATTTTTCTTTCTGGAGTCTGCAGAGGGGAAAGAAGGGAAGGGGCAAAAGAAGTTAGTAAACAAAGATTCATTTTATATAAAACCTACATTTCTTATATGCTGTGACAAAGACATCAACACCCATTTAACATCATACTAAAAGCTCATAAGCTTCCAGGTTCTGTAGCAAAATACCTACTAGCTGTTTTGTGGTTATGCAAAAACAAACAAAAAAAAAGAAACATGAAAAAAGAAAAAGAATACCTTTGGTGATTGGGTTATCTTCTTCAGGGATCTTCCTTTTTGGAAATTTTTTTTAACAGTCTTTGACTGTGGTCTTGCAACACCTAATTTTACTACTTCTGCCCAAGATTTTGCAACTAGAAAGCAAAAGAGAAATAACCACTTTAATTCTCAGCTGTATAAATGGCAGTTCACAGTTATTTCTTTACGATTCCAATGGATTTACTGCAGTCAGGCATAGGAAAGTGGTTGTTGTACCATCTGACAACACCTATACTAAAGTGCTCTGTGAAACACTTTCAATTGGAAGATCCAATTTCAGCTGAAGTTTAACAAGTTCCTTTCCAAGGAATTTCGTAATCAGGAAATTATTTATTTATACTGCTTACAGCATTTAGATCTACACAGACTTTCCATAATTTTTCTTATATCACCTTCTCCTCATAACATACTCTGAAAATTCCCAAAGCAAAGTTACCTTTATCACAACATCATTCTGTACACAGCAGACGTATCAGGGAATTAGTTACAGCTGTGTAATACATGAAGCTGTAAGTTGGTAGGACATCTGCCTTGTTTACTTCAGAAGTAGGCTATGAGAAGACAGGGATCATATAAAAGAAACGATTATTTTTTTTAAGTACAGATAAAAAGGGGAATGCTGTCCTGAAGAAGAGGATATTATTATTCTCGTCAGCATTGCTGCACAAGCTGGGGAAAGTCTGTAAATAAGAAGAACTTCAAAAGCTGTCATTGCTAGGGTGTTCAGGATATGTAGAAAAATGCCAAGCATGCAGGAAATTATCTGAAAAAGCACTGGAAACACAGAGAGTTTTATTTTGGATACAAAGTAGATATCCAAAAATTTTAATATTACAGAAGAAACTGATGCACTGATATTAAAAACCAGTTACACATTACAGAAAGGTGGTGAAAAATGGTATGTCATTAATATTTGTGAAGTACTCTGGTGTTATTAAAATGAACAGAACAACCAAAGTTACTGAAAAAAACCCCCACTTATTTCGCAAAAAGACTAATACCACTTTCAGCTGTATTAACCAGCAAGTATTGTGAAGGCCTGTGATTTTATCTCATCATGTAATAACAATAATAATAATAATAATAATGATGAGACCATCATTGGGACACTGTATGTAGTATGTTGTTCAAAATTTTAAAATGACACTACAAAAAATTGGGATAGTAAAGAGTAATAAAAATTCCTGGGTGAATGGTTGGTGGGAAGCTTTAAATTTGACTTTGAAAGAGTCAAAATGATTTAATTTATGAAAACAGATGACAGAGACCTTATCTGAAAGTTTCTTCAAAGATAAAAATTTCAAGAACCAGAGCTCCCCTATCATGTTTCCAATGCTGTCAAAACTATTTCAAACCAGTGTTCAACATTCAAATTCAAATGTTCAACTTCAAAATATTCAAATTAACACCCAGTTATTATCTTATTTTTTAATTATATCTTAATTTAATTATATCTTAACTGTCAATAGTTAAGGGCAGTCCAGTCCACGGACAAAGGTTGCGAATTGTGTATAAAAAACAAGGCACAAAGAAAACAAACTGAAGCTAGATTGCTATAAAGTGCATGTTTTCAAATCAAAATTGATGTAATTGATACAGTTTGATTTAGTCCAATACTGCTTGAACTTGAAGGATCACTATTGCAACTAACCTTGCAGAGAACCTTAATCCATTTTTCAGTTTCTGAATATTAACATTTATGTTCTAAATACGGTTTTATATATGCTTTAATAATTTGCTTTATGAATACGAGAGAATGTAACACTTTGCAATTCCCAGTTGATTCCAACAAGTCCAACAACCTTCAGAAGATATGCCAATCACTTGGAGGCCTCTGCATAATGAAATAATAGGCCAACTTCAGTTTTGTTCCTGTATTTTAAAGCATTAAAATTAATATTAAAAATTAACTGCTGAAACCAACCTAGTAAATTGGCACTAGAGGCACCACTTCTTCTTTTTGCATTGATAACTGCTACAGCCCCACTTCTCCTCTTCATGGGAGTGACCTTCAAAGCAAGTTGTGCACTTCTTGTTAATTTGTCAGGTGTAGCCATTAAAAATGTTTTACCATCTTGGTTAATGTGAGAAGATTTAGGTGTTTTCACTTGTGCACCATTTTTCTCCTTTGAATTCATGTCTTCTGCCACAGCATCCTTCTCTTCTGCAAGTGGTAATGGTGCCGTGACGTGAGAAACAGAGAAACGTCCTTTTGTGTAAGATGCTGGAGAGCCTAAAGTAAATTTAGGTGTTGCCTTCCCAGAGGTAGGGGATGAGGCAGCTGGGGACTTCTGGGTTGGCAAATTTTTTGGTGACATTTTTTCTTTCTGCAAATGTTCAGAAAGTTCCTGGTAGAAAAAAAATACATAAAGATAAAATGTTACTGCACATAGCTGAACTACAAATGCTCATCTACATCCCTGATGAGTAAATACAATAATATAAAATATCATCAGATCATTTGAAAAAGCCTTAAATGTTATTCTCTGAAAACAAACTTGTAAGAAGTTCTAAATTTGAAACAGTCTCAAAAGACATACACAAATTAAACTGAATAAATTAACTGAACTTATTATTCTACTTTATTCAAAAGTTTTGTTCACATCAAGTACACAACACACATTTTAACTAGTTTAGGTCAACAGCAAATGTTTTCAAACTTCTAGCCAAACCACGTGGCAGTAGCTTGCACAGTCTGCCAACAAACTACTGTTCTCTTTTCTGGTATTTATGGTAAACTGGAGCTTGTAGACACTGCTGCTGAGCACAAACATATAGAAATATACTCCCGCATATGCATGAGAATGAGCAATAGCGTGTGAGGTGAATGAAAACACACCTCCTGTATAGACAGGTAGATGTAAAGGGTAAGCCGAGCCCTTTCCTACAATGGAGACGTTAAAAAAATGCTGATTAAAATTTGCTGATTTCAAATACCATTTTAATTTGCAATTCAAATTTCCACTTCCCAACATACATCTAACAAGGTTTACTAGGAATTTTTAATTAATCTTTAGAAGTCTTAGAATTTATTAATTATCTTAGCAACTTGATTACTCTTAATGTTTACCTGGACTGCAAAGTGTTTCAATCCCTGAGCCTTTTTCAGAACTGCACGTGGCGAGTTTCCAAACGGTAAGCTCAGTCTCGCAGGAATCGCACCTCTTTTAAGGGGGGAGTTGGGAGGCAAACTTTTATCAAAAAGTTCTGGACTTAGATGACCACCAAAAGACACTCTCTTTCTCTTTCCTAAAGGCTGAAGTAACAAATCACCACTTTTCCTCTTCTGAGATATCCTTTTTGTCTTGCCTAAAAATAACAATGGAAAAAACTTCTATATGTCTAAGAATCCAAGTCAACATTTTAACCAGCATAGAAAACAGTGCTTACTCATGCATTTTAAAGTTGGAAACATATCAGAAGGTAACTTACCTTAAAGAGAGATGGATTCAATTGAGTAAACTTTTATACATATTATTGTAAATTTTTATGGTCAAATATAACTACATGATAAATATTTTAGAACTAATATGTCAGCAGTGAGTTCTATGTTTTATGTAAATGGAAAAATTCTCATAAAAATGCTACAAGAATGTCTCAAATACAAAAACAATGAGGCAGGGGATTAAACATATTTACCTGATTCTTCTCCAGCCAACAGGCCAGAAATGTTCATTTCTGAGACAGCGTCATTGTGTTTCAGTACAGTAGCACTTCCAGAAGACCTTCTCTTTGATGACAATCTACGAGGTCTTATAACACTGGCATCTTCCGAATCTTGCATCTGATGATACCCCTTCACAGCCTGTTCTTCTTTAGTTCCACTGTCTTTTCTGTCTGTAGTCTTACCGTGATGTTCTTGAACGGCATTTGAATCCAATGCTTTTTCAGTTAGCAGTCCAGAGGTCCTTGGCCTACCCCTTTTTCTTCCAGAGTCAGATTTCTGACCAGCAGGAGATGCCAGTTCTGCTATTAACTCTTCTGAAGCCAGTGTCTCTGAATGGACACTTTTGTTTGATAATTCTTTACTTTGCCTGTTATTTCTTCTAGGGCTCTTGGAATTAGAAAAAGAGGCAGGAGTTTCAGAATGTCCCTCTTTTGAGTTACCAAAGTTTGCCTGATCACAAAGTTCTTTCAGCACTTCTTTTACAGGTTTTCCTGGTGTATGTTGTTTACTATTTTGCCTTTGTTTTAAGCATTTATTTTCTGCCAAAGGCAGTTGTTCGAGGCTGTCATTTCTGCACACTGAATCTTCCCTTTGAGTTTCACCTGAAATTTCTGAAAAAGACTTACGTTTCAATGACACACGTCGTCGAGTTGTTGGAGTATCAGTATTTACAGGATTCATTCCACTAGTTTCTTTGGTAGGCGATATGAAATGAGACCGAGGACTCTTCCTTCTGGGCGTTGGTATAGACAGAACATATTTATCTACTTCAGAAACATTTGTCATGTTAGTTGTTTGTGCTAGTTTATCTACTGTTATCGCAGAGCTGTGTATTTTCATTTTATCTTCATAATCCAAGCATTCTATAGAGCACGGCTTCAGTGAAAATGCTGCATTTCCATCATTCTCCTTACTGGGTTTGGTTGTAACTTCAGTTCCTTTAGATTTGCCTGCTGTACTTAGTTCTTTATGATCCTGCAAGTGACTTCTTTTACCAGTATCTCTTGACATCTCCTTCGAAACAGGAGTTCGAGGACTTCTGGTAAAACTCTTCTTGGTAGCACTTCCCACAGCTGAGATCTGGTTAAATTCTGAACTGATTACTTCTTGCTTTATTTTTATTTTACATTCTTCAATCTTTTCACTTCTGCCTGTTTCTTTTTCTTTAGTCAGGCTTCCCAGATCATAAACACAACTTGATGATGAAATTTGAGCACTTGGTTCTGGCAGAACACTCTTACCATCTTCTTTTGCAGCTTGTTGAGATATATTTCCATCTTGCAGAGTTTTTTTCACTTTAAACTCATGTTTCAGTTTTTCATAGAGTTTACTAAAGGGAGATGTTTCATTTTGCTTTTTACTAGATTGATGTATTCTGTGTGAAGATTTGGGTGTTTGTAGTTTGATGGGTAAAGCTTTGGAAATATTTTCCTCTGTACTTTGTTTATTTTCATTGGCATTTTTTTCTTCACACTCAGCATTATCTACAAAGTAACGAAAGCAAAGCAAAACAAAAACTAATACAGATGCAGAGTTACTTAAAAATTGCAGAACTACAAATATGAGTTCCGTAAATACAGATAAAAATTCCTTCCTTTCCTCTCCCAAGACAGTCAACCAGGGTTCAGGATACAGTACTGTAAATAAAGCTCTGTTAACAATAACAATTTCTCTCATAATAAAAGCATTAGTATCTACATAAATTTTCACTTGTAATCTGGAATTTATCTCATATTCAGATAAGGCACTTGGTATTTCATGCTTTTGTTTTTCTTCAGAATCAATGGCTCATATACATCTTTCAGGGCTGCCACAAGACAAATCTATGAGCATAGAATTAAACAGCCATTTAGATCACAATTCAATCTGGTTTTTGTCCTGCGTTTACATAGGCGCTGTATTGCTTGAACTGTGGCAATGCTTCTTTAGGGTAAAGCCAGACAATAAAGCAGAGCTGCCACTTCCCAGATGAGACATAGCAAGTGACTGTATCTGTGCTGCCATTCCACTACAATCTGTAAACTGCATCCAAGGAAGCTTGAGATAGCGTGCTTCACCTTGCATTTTCCACAAGCAAGGAGTATATGCAAGCTAACAGAGTTCATCTGATAAGAGGCATTTTTAAGCCACAAGAAGCTGAGACCTAATGTACATCTATAGATCTGCAAGGGCTATTTCTCAACACTACTTTATGTCAGCATGAACGCCTGCTGAAACAAGTGCTGATACATGTTGACTTTTCTTAATTGTGATGGTAAATAATCCATGTAAAGATGAAGGTAGAGACTCTGACATACAAGGAAAAGCCTGTCAATTATCTTCTGGGAAAGGGGAAAAGGAGGGGGGGAAAGAGAAACATGGGAAAGAACAGGGAATCAGGTCTTTCTGTGAAAGCTTTTACTCAACTGCAGACAAGTCCATAGGTAATTTTTTTACTGAGCTGACAAGTTGTTCCCTTAAAGTTGATAGAACAATGAAGCAAAGACTGTTGTACCATAGGACAATGTTGGGGAACCTATCACCCAAATCCTGTGAATACAGATGTGCTCACAACAGCCCACTGAAATGGAACACTTTGAAACAGCCTGGGTTTTTTGCAGTGGAACAAACATTTGTCACAAAAAATCAAACCTGCCTGTAGATAACTAGCCTCCATTTAACAAACCTTGTATCTTCCCATGAAAGTAACATTACTTAAGACAAGAAGGATGGGAAGGTGAAGTCCCAGCATTTAACCAGTCCGTGGTCTATAACTACCCAGACTTAGTAGCTCTAGAAGATATTTACTGGGTCTACATAAAACAGCTATTGCAAACTATTATTTCAATCAGCAAAATTAACCCTTCCTATATATCTCCACAATTATACCTGTTTCAATTTCTTATTAGAAAAGAATACATGAGATAATGCAGTATTTCCTCAAAAGGGATCTAGCTGTACTCTAGGTCAGCAGAGAACTGCAAGTTAAATTTTAATCACAAAGGTGAATTTGCCATGTTATACTTGTTTGACGCCGCTGAAAAGTAAAATGTAATAGGTCATTGTTTCACCTACCAGTTTCAATTGACATTCATATTGCATTTGCAAAGCTGGTGTACTGCACTCCTTTCTTAGCTATAATCTTCATAAACTGAATTTGCACAAATCACTTAAAGCAATATATATAGATTTTGCCAATTCCAGGCTAACTGTTACTGCCCATTTGTCAGGATGCAATTAAACCGATTTCTCCCGGCAGGATTTAGCTTTGGTAAATCACAGCATCTAAGTATGATGAGATAGTACACTGACATAGCAAGGTGTATTGTACTCAGATTGAAAAGTCTTAAAATAAATTTCTTTTGCTCTTTTCAACCTTGTTTTTCCTCTTATGTTAAGAATGAATGCAGCTAAAGTGGAAGAAGAAAACAAACCCCCCCATAAAACAAGTACCAACCTGAAGCATGAAGACTTTTAGATCCTGAAGTTTGTTTGCGTAATAATTCCACTTCTGCCACCTGCTGAAAACCTGTAAATTTGTACAATATTACAGCAGAGCAACAAATATTTTAGTTTAGCTTTCAACTGTACATTGAAAACCACTAGATTTATAAAAGTATATTCATTGTTTATTAAACAGGTTTAAAGGTATTCAAATGAAATCCTAGAATATTTCAAAATTTAAGAACATCAAGCAATACACATTTGAGGCCCTATATAACAAGAGTTTAAATCTTGTTTTATCATTGAAATTATTAGCTCTAAAAGCAGCCAAAGCATACGAATATATACAAGCACTTTTGAATCTCACCTTCTTACCAGACCTAGTGGAAGATTTTTATTTAAATAAGAGAACTATAAC